ACCTAGGGTCACAACCGGTTGTGGGATGATTATGGGACACTTGTCCAAATTTTATTGGACAAGTGTATTTTTTAAATAAGATAAAACTTAATTTATATTTTTAGAGAGTAATTTATATTAAAAATAAAAAATAAAAATCACCAAAATTCGTATTTTTTTCATTTTCTACAAATAGAGACCATACTTTGGAACACAATTGCATTTTTTAGATAAATTAAAATAAATATTATATTTAGGTTGAGTTGGGTTGAGGATAAAGATAAATTTGGTTGTAAGGTTGGGTTGTGTAGGTGGAGAGAAAAATCATTTTTAATTATTAGGTTGGGTTGGGTTGGGTTGGGGATAAGGATAGTCTAATTTCTCAAGAGTCAAGACACATTAGAAAATATTAATTAAGACAGGCTACCCTGATTATTTAAGCATTCATTGTGATTTTTCTAATTTCATGACTACTTCTTATAGCACCAAAGGATTGGAACTATAACAGATGAGGATAATCTCTGATAAGTAATTATAAATGTTTAACATGAAGAAAGGCATAAATGGAAACGGACGTCAATAAACTTACAGCCGCTGCAGTGTAGCATGATATAGCATGCTGCCAATAGCAAGTATCACATTTGATATGTGAAGGACGCTAAACCTTTTCTCAAAATGCTGTCTCAATGAATTCAGAAGACCAATGAGTGCCAAAAGGATGCCAGGAACAATGGAAACTGTGTTGAAAAATTCTGCAATGTAGGACGAGTAGACATAATTTGGTTCACACCACTCATGCGTAGATGTGACAGGGCCCCAAAAACTTGACACACTGTCTGCCATTCTTCAATACTTAAAGCTGAATGTATATGATTTCCACAATTCCTATAGGATAAAAATGGTAAATCCACATGAAAATATGGCTTAATATTAGTTACAAAAATTACTAAATGCTACAACAAGCATATTGATGATTGGGTGGAAAGAAAATCAACAGAACTCAAACCAGCTATCATTATAACAATTTATGAGCGTAAAAGTGATTTACACAAGCAAAATCAAAACGGAAGACAGAAAAATTTCCACCTCAGGCTGTTTCGGGTGAGTTAATCACTCAATGACTCCAGAAAAGTAAAATAAAACAATACGAGGACATAAACACTCGGAAACCAAAATGATTTCCTCTGGTGTCGAAGTAGCCCGCATGATAGGGACTCAATGATACAAGGTGATAGTATCAAAAAGGAATAATAAGGCAACTTCGGAAAGATGAATATATAAGCAGATTCTGGAGATTATTGGATACCTTCAAACATTTAATTTGTTTTCTAGCGCCTTTTATTTCTTAGTACCTTATATAATAACAACAATTCAATATAAATAAAGGATTTTACAAGTAGCGGCAAGGTATCCAATAATCAATTTAGATTATAGTGATTTTGGCGAATGGGCAACATAGTTCTTGCTGAGACTTGAGAGGATTCTTCTCGAGAGCAGTCGCGCTTCTTCTTCCTATCTCTTTATTATATTATAGCAATAGAACTATATCGATAGTTATCAGGATTAATGTGTCATAACTTCACCTAAGCATGGGCAGAACATGTAATCCATCGTGAGGTGGCCATATCCAAACAAGTGTTTCCCAACCTTTGCAAACTCTTGTAATCGCAAAGAAACCACATCTCATCCCTTGAATTTGAAATGTACTCAACGCCCATTCTTGAATATTCTAACCCCAATCCCAGGGCACACAACTACTCTTCTTCAAAAGGATGTACGGGCAGAAACTATTGGATTTGGATTGCTTGCCTTTCCAGATACTTATTTTCTTGCTGCTTTTATTTCTAGTCAAATTTTTATTATTCCAACAGTTTTATATCAGGTTACCATTAGACGGAAGGTAGGGGACAATCAGCTATTTGGCAAGATAATTCTTTCTGGCATAATTGGGATTTGGGAAGCATCCTCTTTATTACTTATTAACATTATTATAACGACAAAATTATGTTTTACTATCAAGGATCCTTAATCTTTACTCCCACCGCAGCATCAGCCAAAAATGCTTGTCTGGTATAACGCTATCATTTGACGCAAATTAAATTCAAGTAATTTCATTTCCATTAATGTTGAATTACATGCTGGTTGCACCTACACATGGACGAAGCTCACAAAACAAAAAGTAATAAACTGTTCCAACTCTCAGGCATTTCACAGTGCAGAAAACACCCCTTTCTGGCCAACATTTAATCACTCTAGTTTAATAAACTGTAGTAGCAGAATCATTTTGATCTCTTCTACAGCAAGTTTTCTATCAGATAGTCCATGTGCTAAAACATCATTTACCTCATTCAAAATGTAAAATAAACATCTATTACAAACTTGAAGGCATCATGATGACAAGACATTTGTACAATTGAATTTAAAATTCACTGAAGCTCTACTGATTTTTGTACCAACACATCCTGTTATAACCTCTAACTAGGAGGGGAAACTTTCTAATGTTTCTATCATTATATACATAAAATAAATATAATGGAACTTATGTTTTCATATAGTTTAAGCGTATCTCATCCATTATTGATATAGTTATTGTTCAACTATGAAAAATGGAGGATTAGTAGTAGATGGAGTATTTGACCAAAACCAAAAGAACAAGAGGGTAAAGTGAATTTTAAATGTACCTTAGAATGGTATTTAACAACACAAATAGAACAAAACACCATAAATGTTTCATCAGCTCTCCACAATACACAAATTAGAATAAAAAAATATGACCGCGTTGTAATATATAATTAGGACGGACAAACATAGTTACGGAAGGGCACGCAACAAATCTCATCCAACTTACATGTTCGATATAGTGGACGTGCGAGCGGGTAGGAATACTTTGAATAAGTGCTTGTGTGCTAACTTAAACCTATAAGGAAGGGGGAAAGAAAACAAGGCTTTGTGTGTACCAATTCTGCTTGTAGCATAATTTCACAAAAGTTTATGGAAAGGCCAAAAACAGATAAATAGCCTACTCCATACTACAAACAAGTATCAAATATGAGCATACCATTAATGTTGTTGTACACAAATTCAACTCATCACGTATTCTACAAAAATCAAATGAGCGAGCTTTACTATAACATCACCAAGATTAGTACACATAAGCATCCTTCAAACTCTAATTTCATTTCTTGTAGTTAATGCATAATCATAAGAAAGTAGACACACTTTGTTTTGGGTGATAAAATCTACAAATATGAGGAACTAAAATAAAGACGTACTAGACTCCGGTCCGCATTTGAGTGTAGGAAATAGTCTGTTTCCATCTTATCTACCTTAAAATGCATTTCACATTTCAACACAACAACCTACGAATCTTTCTTACAGAGAAGGCAAAATCAGAAACAAAGACAACATCAGCAAACAAGGCCTAATGGGTATGTGTGTTCAAACATCTGACCACAAATTCATCTATCCCAGTGCAGAAATTCCAAAACCAAATATTCTCGAGAAACAATTACCAAAAAAATCGGCAGAAAATAATAGCTCAAGAAAACAAACATAATATCAATTTATTTACACAGACATACAAATACATAAAAAAAAGAGGTAAAATTATCTTGCTGAAAATCGTTACTATCAGACACCATGATGCGATTTCAGAAACTCTAGCAGACGGCAGTGATTATTCTAAGAACACAGAATACTGGAACGAAATTAACCTTCCGAATTCAGATCTGAGAAGCGTTCTCGAACACTTCAATTTTGGGTGGTATGATACGTATTTTACCAGTGTAGTGTATCTTCGTGTGCACAGTCCGAACGCATAGGCCGATTTCCCTTTTGTTTTTTTCTGTGTTTTGATTTAAATATTCGAACTTAGGAATGAGGGATTTGAATAAGATTCTTACTGGGGAGCCATTGTTCAGATCTGAGCATCAACGTGGCCGTGGAGACCTTTAAGCTTTGATGTTTTTGACCAAAACTCGAAGTTGCTCCACACGCGCAATATGGGCTCGTGACTATGGGATTTCCACGATTGTTTAGATGTGTACCAAATAAAATACCACTATAAATCTTTGGGTTGTGCGACCGGCCCATAATACCAAAATATTCATGTTTGAAAATGATACTTTTAAATTTTAAATAATAGATCCAAAATTGCGACAAAAGACATCGAGAAATAACCTAATCTTACAAACGCACCTAAAAACATTGATAAAATACACAAATTGTACAGTAAAAAATGATCCTACAAGAATGTTAAAACACAACTTTTAGTTTTCAAAATAAAACATAATTGGTCAAACATTATTTATGTGATGACCAATTTGTCGTCGAAGCTTATTATTTGGTTCACAAACTATTTGTTTTGCCTGTGTATAATTCGTCAATAAGGGGGTGACTTTCATGTATGCAAGCACTGACAAAAGAGAGAGAATGATGCAATGGCAATTTTTAGAAGATGCTAAGGAGATTGGGGGCACAATTGGATTCTGGGGGGTGATTGGAATGAGATCTGTGATGCAGTGAGAAAAAAGGAGGAACGAAAAGGAATGCCAAGGATTACACTGACTTCTGTGAGTTTAATTCTCGCATGGGAATGCATGAACTTCAATTGCTTGGCCACAATTTCACATGGGGAAATAATAGTGATATAGCCATACTATCGTATAACTGTTCAGACATTACCGAGTCGACTTATCTAAAGTCGACTCTGATATAGGATATTATACCCACAAGGCTAAACCGGTCTACTGACCGGACGAGGAGGTCATACCGTGAGGAAGTCGAGAAAATCGAGCAGTTAACTAGTCGACCAGCAAAGCAGTCGACCAATCTATCCTTCGACCAGATGAACGGTCGAGCAGTTCAGTCGACCTCGACCGGTCGACCACTTCGTGGGCTTACCACTTCATAGATCGGCCTAGTCACAGGCGCGTGAATGAGCCTCTAACAGAATTTCAGAAGAATATTCATCCCATGTGCAGGAGGACACGTGTCGAGAACCTATTGGGTGATAGCGACAACCACCTCTAACAGCTCCCAACGCCTCGCGCCACCTCTGACATACGCGTTGTGTGTTAGAGTACGGACGGGCAGTTTGGGTAGCTAGCTCACCTTATCCGGGCAGCTATTAGGGCAGGTATCTCACCCCTATATAAAGGGGGTGAGCCTTTCTCCCTTAAGACGATTTTTCCATTATTCACTTTAGTATACTCATACACATACTGACTTAAGCATCGAAGGCTCTTCACCGGACACAACCCCTAGTGTGAGAGTTACTTGCAGGTTTTCGACGTTCTACCGGCGAGGACGAGAATCATTCTATTCCGAACCGGACCAGGGCATTCACACTTGCATTATTGGCGCCGTCTGTGGGGACTTTTGTTCGAAAAGTTGTGTTTGAAGCTCAGCTATGGCGAACGGAATTCCCAGAACTAACTTGCAGTCGACGTTCGACGACGCTTAGATGAAGACCAGACCGATTGGGCAAGGCCCTCCTCCGGGTTTCTCTGGCCCTTCATAGACGCCGGTCACTCTTACACCCGTCCTTCAAGGTGTGGGAGCGTCTATGGCAATTCCTGGGGGAGATGCCAGCTCCATTCGTGTCCAGGAGGCTCGTGCAGCAGCTGCGGCGGCGATGCCACCGTCGCCGCCCCAAAACCCAGTGATGGCGCAACCAGGAGGAGCGATGGTGCAAGGAGCAGCACCACCGCAAGCCGTTGCACAAGCTCCCGGTCAACAGATGGTGACGATGACCAGAGAGGAGATGCAGAGGATAGCGGCAGCGGCGCAGGTGGTGCAACAAGTCACGAGCCACACATCTCACGCCACTACCGCGCCGACCA